AATAATAATAATAATAATAATAATAATAATAATAATAATAATAAAAGAGCTACAGCCACGAATCTCTTTGTCTCATGATGTCTCACACACAGGCTGACCTACAGCACAACAGCCTTATCATACTTGTACTCACAGTCTCATGATGGTTGCGGTACAGGCCAATCTGCAGCAGGTTCTGCAGGTACTGCTCCAGCTGTTTCATACGCTCCTCAATGTTCTCATAAAGCACCAATGCTTCTGGCTTACTCGGGAACCTGCAGACACACATTACCTCTGTTAAGTGAGGTTTTTCTGTTATCTTCCTGTCACATTAGGATAAAGCTGGCAGTGAACCTTTCAACAGTCATGACTGCATGCACCTTCATCATTCTCAACCAATTCAATGAACTTTTAAATAGCTCCAATTAATACACAACCATTAAATAATCTACAAGCTGCTACTATGAGAAAGGATGGAGGAACTACATTTTGAGGAGCTTTATAATTTGTAAGCCTTTAAAGCACAATGGTAACTACATCTACCACCTCCTCTAACATTAAAAAACATTAAAAACACACACTTATATAGGCACTCTGTATGAGTCTCAGAACAGACAGCAATTATTTCTCCAAACAACATCAAATGACCAGTGCTTACAATGCAGACATGGTGCATTCTGCATGAGGAATGCACTGGATTTATAAGAATAATACAGATAAATTTTAGGTTCCAAAGCGTTAAATGGAAATTGATGAAATGGGCAGGACATGTAGAGAGAATGTGAGATGTGAGGAACTGATATAGAAATGTTCGTTATCTAACTTCAAAAGAAGTGTCCTATTTTCCGTGATATAATGCTGTGCAGTCTGCGGAAAGTCAACAGACGTTTCAGAGGAACACATCGCCTCAATCTTCAGGTTTGAAGAATAAGCCAAGCAAGAAACCAACATGAAGGCAGGCAGCAGGCAGAACTTTCATTCTGGTTTCTTGCTTGGCACATTCTTTGAACCTGAATATGGAGACGATAAGTTCCTGTGAAACATCCGTTGACTTTCAGAAGACTACACAGCATTATATCCCAGAAGACAGGAATCTTCATAACCACTGCTGTAAGCTCCTCAAGTAGTGATCACTTGGGACACCCAAATTCATAATACTGAAAAGTACCACAGGTTATGAAAGTGTAAACTCAATTCAACTGGCACTGGAGAGGGTCAAAAGTGGGCTTTGGTATTAGTGGTAGCGAATCTTAGGGTAATATTACAAGAAAGTTAGTAGCTTAATTAGTTAATTTGTCAGTTCACCAGAAAATTAGTTCATTGGCTTGTTACCTACGCTACTTACCGTGGTAAGGCTCCCTTGTTTTTGCGCTTGGAGCCATGGTAGTCCGTTCTGAAGCTAGATCGCCGCTCTCGGTGGGCTCGGGTTGGAAACGGGATATTGAGACTAGCTCGAAACAATTTGAGCTGTTGGTGTAAGTGCTGAATGTGCTTGTAACGCTTCCTGATAGTCCAGGAAAATTCACCATGTTGCAGTTTTATTGTGTACCTGTGAAAGTGCAACATAAGTAACATGAAGTCCTGATGCTGGAGCTGTACTGTGTGTATGCAAGTCACTTGAACATGGTTGCTACTTACAGATTGGGGTTTAGGAAATGCGTAGTTACACTTCGCTCATAATCTGTGATCTTCACCAATATGTCCTGCCCTGGGATGAACACAGACCTCTTTTGTGCCTTGAAACTGAGCTGTGTCTGGTGGACCACGGAGAATGGGATAGCCGTCCCTGAGCACCAAACAGTCTCATGTTACACAACATTATGGTAGTGACAGACTGCACATAGAATGGACATATGGGCATAATAATGCTAGTTTACTGTGTCTCTTCTATGTGTGGTCTCATATGTTGTTGTAATGAGAGTTCTGAAGAAAGTTTACATAAAAACATTTCACAATGCACAGACATTAAGTTCAGCTGCTCTTATTTCTATGAAAGCAAATGTAGCAACTAACTGCTTGAGCTTCATTAATTCTTTGAGTGTTTCAACCAGGATATTCCAGCCTAGCATAGACTGCACCAGCCTGCAATTCTAGTAACTTCACTTTATTCTCCAATAGCTCCTAGCAAGCAGTGATAGACTGTTCCGTAGTTTGTAATCTTATGGCATACCAGTATATACAGAACCACTTCTGTGTCTTTCTCTGTTAAAAGAAAAAAAAATTGTATATTAATACACACCAAAGAAGATCTAAAGATAAGACAACACTGCAAGAACAGGGACTTGCTGAGATGTAAGCAGAGCTACAAGGGCACATTGGGTCAAATTTAAAGCAGTTTTCAAGGGGTTTAATGCCAGCAAGACAACTTGCATTAAAAATTCCCTGGTGTCGATCTTCTGCGACAAGGCACAGAAAACTGCCTTCTCTTATAAAAATCGAACATTAATCACCATCACACAGAAGCCCATCAGTGAAAAACTTTCAGAAAGCTATCCCCTGGATGATCAAGGTGATGTTACCTTAACATTATGATGAATCATGACGACATAAAGTGTGATAATAGGAGATATATGGAGTGGTGGCAAACCTTTGGGGCCAATGCCACAAAATTATCAGTTTGCTAGCCATTAATCATTCCATGAGTTAAGAAAAAAGATTAATTTCTTACACAAGTTACATATACCATCATTCCTAAGAATAAGACAAAAGAGTACAGACTACAAAGTTATTTCCATAATTTTCTATGTTACTTCAGTTCTATAAGGTATAAATGTTCTAAGCACTAGAACTCTTGTTCCGTGAGGAAGTCCAAGTTCTTGTCTGTTACAAAAAAGTGGACAGAATAATTTTTCTGTATAAATATTCTGGCCTTATGTTTTCTCAAAGAAGACATGAACCACATTAATTCTGTTCCCAGGAGTTAGTCAAAACATTGGTTGCTGACTTCCACAAATATAATCTGTTCTGAGTGAGACTCAAGGTTTCTTTGCCATGTACATTTACATAATATTCTTATGGATTATGGCACCAAACAGTCTGGTAGAGGGTTTCTGATGTTTTGGAAGAACCTGCTGTCTCCATCTTTAGCGCAGAATTGAACCATAACAAGGGGGCAGCCAGTTCCTCTGAAATGCTGGTAACCATTTATGAGACCACATGTTGTCTTCACCCGTGAGACCTTAGTCTAAACAGTCTCATGTATCAAGTCAGCCTGACATAAAAGGACATGAGGCCAACTGCCACTCCACAACTAACAGTTCTTGGATATCTGCATCACTGAAAATATACTGTGACATGAGGGCTCAAAGCCAGTATTGTGGAATCAGCAGATACGGTGGTTGATAGGGAATGAACCTGTAAACATCATGTGGACAGCCAGTTGCCATGGCGACAGAGGCAATGCAACAATAGAGGAATTGTGGGATGATGATTTTTCTGTGTGGTCCATGCACTATGACTGGACCAGGTAATGATTTGCTTTCCAAAGCCTGGACTGACAGAAGACTTGTATATAGTGCTGCTAAAGGAGGAAATTCCAATAACATGCTGTATTATTGTGGTACATGCTCTTGACAAAGCCCAAGCCTATTCATAAAAGACTAACCCATTCTCTTGTCATAGAGGATGTTACACAACCACAAGGATTCAGCACACCCAACCACCCAAAAAACTTTCTGGCAGTGAGCCTAAAGGGGCTTGGTGTGAAGAGTAAATCACCAGTCATAAAATAAGCCTGAACTCTGAATTAATGGAGGCCGTAACAAGGTGAGAAGACTAGTGTGGGCTATAGTTATATGTGTGGCATTACAGTCACTTTTAAGTCTGAGTTGTGATTGTATTTCAGTCAAAATCCCGTGACACGTGACAATATATTCTGCAAGTGGAAATAAAGAAATAGGAAGATCAATGGAAAGATGGGAAGGCCAGTTCTATGAAATTTCCGGAGTTGGAACTGACTAACAAAGTCCAATCTGTGACGACAATATGATAATGCTGATGATGAAATACACCTTCCATAGTGAGAAGCATGTATTGGATATTGTAAGCCAAGAGCAATGTAGGTGTGTGACAGAACTGCTTGCTGTGGCCACCCTGAGGTGCAGCACATGCTTATCTGTCACCTCTAATCTTATCAGCAAATGAATAATCCACTTCTTATATGCCAGAGTCTTTAAGACACAAAATCTCTTGTATCATATAGCAAACTAACTGCATCTTCCAAGTGCTGCAGCTCCAACCCAAATATGGGACAGATATATATACAATATACACACAGAACAAATGGAAACAAGCACAAGAAAAAAACAACTAAAATTAGAGACTTTACACAGAAATTAACAAACAATAAAAAAGGAGTCTTAGGAATGAATGATAAAGAAATTCCAAGGAATGCACTAAACATGAAACTAAAAGGAAAACACCCAAGAGGAAGACAATAATGAAAGTGGAAAACTCGTCTGGAAATATTTCACAGAGAAGGACGGAAAAGAGTCGGAGGAAACTTGGGGGGGACTTTGGGGAAACAGACATACTGAGAGGGTTGTTCTCTAGAGTCTAGACAATCCACACCAAGTGGAAATATCAGAACAGGATGAGGAGGAGCGAGTAGAAGCGAACAAGATATTACTTTCCAGGGAACATCCTGCAGCTGCAGACAGTCTTTAAGTGGCTCAAGAACTTTCCAGTTGCCAGCAACTGCAGAAGTCAATCACTAAGGCTTACTGAATGCATATATGTACACTAGCGTTTTCCCACGTAAATGGAAATTTAAAGGGGGATACACATGGATTTCTCATTTTCCTGCATGCTCTACATACATTCACCTCAACCTCAATGATATATTCACTTCAGAGTATAACTGTAAACTGAGATACTTCTTGTTGCATAATTTTCTCCATTTTCCTCTTGGATCAAATATCCTTCTCAAAGGATGCTCTCCCTTCCATGCAGATGCTGCAACTACAGCTCCAGTGAAGTACTCTGAGCACTTGACCCCATTTATTTCAACAGCAAATGTGGGTGAAAATTTCCTTTCCACAAAACATAAATCAATAAAGATTAATAATTATCTAATCTCACTTTTTGAAGCATGATACCCATCTAAATATTATTTAAAAATTCAGTTCCTACCTCAGGAAAGATACACAGAGTCTCCAGTACAAGGACCAACCAATTAATGGAGTTTGGGGAATTAATCACTGCCTATTGTGCAAGTCATATGCAGCAGACCATGTGTGGAAAATGCAAAGCTTACAAAGGATAGCAGAGGTGACACATATAATTACCACTGTGAATTAGAGGGTTAAAATTATTGCTCTTTGGCTTCATGACCTAACTACACACAGCTGCTGCTGGCTGTGTGCCAGCAAAGTCTCTGATGTCAAAACCCAATTACAGCCTTTCACTGAGAATTGCATCTCGGTAGTGTTCAATCCTAACAGCGTGTAACTCTTTCTCAATTGACAGTATTTTAGAATGGGGCATTAGGAACAATATTGTTTTGGATGACTGAGAGTGACAGAAAATAGAAAAAATGCATAATGAGGTATTCTTCACTTTATACTATTTGGGTGGTGAAATTAAAAGATGATGAGATGTGAAGGGCAATGCAACATCAATAAGCAAAATGGGTAATGCACACAAAACTTAAAATTCTGAAAGGTGGACACCACTTCAGTAACCCACAAGTAGATGGGAGGGTAAGATTGTCACATGATAGTGACTACACAAGGGGGTTTGGATTTGTAATTGGACTTACTGGACATTGAATTGTCTAATATTCAAATAATTACACAGTATACAAGTGAGCACTATCATTTCATAACCTGGTATATCATTCTTGGTTGCTGGCTCTGTCATCACAAACATGTTGCTAGGTTTCAGGCCCTGATAACAGGGACGTTTCTAGTTAGCCTGCAGGCTCTATGTATACTGCTTAGCTGTGAACTTATTATTATTTTGCATCCACCCTGACAGAACAACTCTTCAAGGCTATTTAAGAACAGGGTCCTGACAACTTCTGCACCAAAAGGGACAAAGTAACAGGAGCCTGAAGAAAATTGCACAGTGAGGAGCTTTATAATTTGTACTCTTCATCAAATGTTAACAGGTGAGATATGTGGGCCATGCAATATTTCTGGACTAAATGAGATATACAAGTACATACACAATTTTGGTTTGAAAACCTTAAACGAAGAGACAAGAACTGACATCAACATCTAGAAGAACAAATACGATTAACACAGGGTGTGAATATGTTGACAGAATTACACTGGCTTAGGTCCCATGCTACTGGCTAGCAATCAAGCAACATCTGTGTCTAAGAAATTTCTACGTGAGTTTTCTTCAGCATATTTTGCAGCTAAAAGGTTTGGGAAGCACTGTGCTGCTAAGATTACAGCCTTCTGGGATGTGACACAGCTAGATACCCAAATTTTGAAGGAACCTGCTGTCTCCATCTTTAGGGTAGAAAAGTGAGAGGGGCATCAGGTTCATACAGACTGTTGGTACCTATATACCAGAGATGGGCACCAGTTATAAGAACATAAGCATGACAAGTAAAACTTATGGGAACAGCACTGTGATTGCCAGTGATTTGAGGCAAGGACTGTGGTGCACACACACAACAGGAACAGAAGGATGACAAGTAAAACTTATGGGAACAGGACTGTGATTGCCAGTGATTTGAGGCAAGGATTATGGTGCGCACACATTACAGGAACAGAAGGATGACAGAAAGCAGCTATAGGAAGAGGACTATGATGAAAGCTGGTTATGGGAAAAGGTCTCTGACCAGTACTAGCTATGGGAATGTGAGTCATGGGAATTTAACTGTGATGGGCAAGGCTTATGGGAGCATGATTGTGATGAGCACTTGTTATGTAAACATGACTTATGGGTACTGGTTATGGGAACAGGGCCGCAATGAGTACTTGTAGTAAAACTAGAATGACAGATAGAGATTATGGGAACAGGTTGCGATATGCACTGTGATAAGCACTGGTTAGGGGAACAGGAGTATGAAGACAGTGGTTAAGGGAATAGGATTGTGATGGGCATTGGTTAGTGGAACAGGATTGTAACGGGTACTGGTTATGGAAACAGGAAGTTACCAAAGTGTAACTAACTGTGTGCAAGACAAGTCACAAACTACAGACACATTGGTACGTCAACTACTGCTGTTAGTGATGATGCAAAACAGTGAGATACATGCAACACCAACAACAAAAACAAAAACAACATCAAGCATGTCATGTTACCTGCTACCGCTCCACTGTTACTGGTGTACAGCTAGAACGGAAACAACACAAGTGTCGTTAATGCAACAGATGCTTCTAGCATTAGTTTTACATGTTAGAAATTTCACTGAACCTCTCCTCTACTTGTACTGATACTGTTCTCATTTTCATGTTGTGATGAGACCCCCATCACTTACCTACTCCACCGGTACAATCTGCGACACCATCTGGGTGCGACACATCAATCTGAGGGATGGGCAAGTCATCAAAATCCGAATCAGGAGATGTAGACTCAGCTCCATCACCCACCATTCCTGAGGTGTGTTTCACTATAGCCTGCAACTGATAAGTGCCAACTTTATAATATCACTTCAGCTGAAGCCTACGTAAACTCAACTGAGTCCTTGAGAAGCTGGCAGTCGTCCAGCTAGTCAAGAAATTCCTTTAACATCTATGGAAACTGAACGCCCATTACTGCGTTCGCCAAAGCATTCTAAGGGTTACAATCCCGAGACTTCGAAATAGACATTGTAAAGTTATCAAAATGAATTTTTATATGGGTACCTGTTTCCTCATATGCAATCTAAATGTATAATCCACGACTATGGTTTATGAGATTCGAGGCTTGGCAGTGAGGATTTGGCATTGAAAAGAACTACAGCATATTCTCCTCCATGTCCCACTAATTTAACATCTGAGATACACCCTAATCGATAAAGCCAATATAATTGAGTCTGCTTAGAAAACAGGTTCACACCACATGACTTGTATGACTATGGTCATTAATGACAGGTGGAGGCTACAATACCACGTGCTGCTGTCTACAATTGATAAACAAACATTCGTGAAGTTCTAACCCTGTGACGTCTCAAAAGAAATGCAATACTTGAAAATCTGGAAGGTCTGTGGTTCTGATGGTATTCCAAACGAATGTTCTGGACACCTTCTAAGAAGCCTATCTTCGGCTTTGTTAGTTCCCAGCACCTTGGAGAGAAGTAAATCACAGCTGTCCCAAAATCCAGCAAGAACCCAAAATTTCACCAAAATTAATGTCTGATCAGCATCTTGTCCACTGTGGGCAAACTTTTTGAGAAGTTGATTTTAAGAACAATTCAAAGACATACTGAGGAAAGAAACTTGCTAAATGCAAGGCAGTTTGACTTTTGAGCATATCACAGCAATGCACTTCAATGTATGAGATTGATTGATCACGTAACACTGAATTTCAATAACATGACAACGGCTGCGGTATTCTTGGACATTGAGAAAGCCTTTAACACAACATGGGACTCTGACCTACAAATGAATTGTCAGAATTATAATTTCCTACAAGTCTCATTAAGATAATTCTTTCTTTTCTCACTAACAGAAAATGTAAAACCTCAGTAGAAAGCGAATTTTCCACAAGCAGATAAATAGCAATAGTATTGTGCAATCTATATACGATCGTACAAACGATGCCCCGCGGCACCTGGAACTCATTTTGCTCTATTTGCGAACGATATATGTGTATGTGAGACAGAGAAGCAGGAACGCCGCGTTCTCTGCAAACTGTAACGCGGCCACACCACAGGGAAGTTGCGGTGCAAGTGCTGGAACATGGTCATCGATGAAGGGAAATCTCAGGCAGTCTGTTTCCTTAGAAGACTTAAAGTCTCCAAGGATTTACTAGAACAAAAGGGATGGAACGTTCCATTCGTAAACAATGTAAGGTATCCTGGCGTCATAACTTCTGAATAGGGAATAGGTCCTCATATACGGGCCCAAGGCCTTGGATACAGTCCCTTCGCTATGGAGCATTCATGACACCATCCTATCGAAGATGACATCAAGATACTTGACATTATTTACAAAGGGGATGTTCTGTTAGTTGTAATATGTCCTTAGAGACGGCGAGTAAGGCTGACAACCTTACCGCTATCTGTGAGCCGACTGCCTAAAAAAAATGTGAGAGCCTCCACGTTTCACAACCCTATGGGCCTTCACGCCCTGTTTGTTACACAGATAGCTGTAGCTTTATATCCTCGAAGACTCTTTAGTCTTCTAAGAAAACATCACTGCTCAGGTGACAGCAGTTTCGGAGTGGTTAAATAAGTCACGGTATAACCTACTGCACTGACGTAAGTTCTCTGTATATCCTGTGTGCGTAGAGTAGCGTCTGCATCAATAGCTATTTGCACCCATAAAGCGTTCAAAGAGAATTCTTTTTAAATGCAGATAAGTGAAAACGGGCGGAAGTGACATGTAATGAGGTTTGGATGTTGACTGGGTAAGAAAAAGATGTCCTTAATTAATAAAGCAGTATTTCGTCGGCTCTGTCACCGTCGAGGTTATCATAATTGTGGACCGCGTAACCACGTAGGTATAATACATGGGATGGACGCAGGTGTTTCTTGGAGACAGGTATGTCTGTAAGTCAGGCAATCGTGTATGAAAGCAATTTAGGCTCCACTGTAGCAGGTCCATTATGAGTGATCAGGAGGGAAGATGCAGACGTTTTTCAGCTACGGCGCGTTGATAAGGAGTCTTTTCAATCTCCCTCTGTTCTTTACTTTCGGAGCTCAAGGGAGATGTCAGTGTGTTTGTTGTGTCTGAGTAAAAACCGCTATGGTCGGACCTGGTTATCGGGCCGAATGGATTCGGCTGTGAACCAGAACGCGATCGGGACCGACGCCACTGTTTTCTGACTGGCGAGTTCTGACACAGAGGCCCGAGGTTCATGTACCGTCCACCGGTCAAAGGTGCATACACATCATCGCAAGAGGCAAGGCAGGGCTGGAGGGATCGTTAGTCTGGGTAAATACTGTTGTTCGGGATGGGCCTATCCTACGTATCTGCTTGGTCTGGGAAGGGATGGATTCTCTCTCGGTAATGACATCAACTCCTTGTGGGCGGCGAAGTGTTGATGAATAGCACTGGGTGCTACAGTTATTTAAAAATTGCGAAGAGCCGTAAAACTTCGCCAAAAGCAATAAATTCATTTATCAATCCGAAACCTGTGTCTAGTCACTAACCCGTGACAATATATTTCATTTCGTGGGGTTTTATGTAACGTATTTCTGAATAACATTAAATAAAAAGTTTCGAGTTTACAGCCTGAACCAAGAACTGCATGTATATGCAGTTTTCAAGGCGACCAACTTCTCCATTTTAATATACTGTTCTTTAATATATCTGAGTGACAAAGATTTTAAATTTCGTGATAAAGCTTCGCAAGTCCGTGACAGTAGTATACTACTTTCGTAACAACTAAGTAAATAGGAGAAATATATATATACAAAAAGGCTTGATGTTATTATGTGTAAGAACTGCATCGTTGTCATCCTTGTATTTAATAAATATGATCTCAAGAGATGCAGAGTATGTGTATGAAACTTTAAATGTAGGATTTACCAGCCTACTTCGTGGTGATTTGTTTTTCTTGTCGGTGGTGTGGAAACTAAACTAAAAATGGTGTCTGCAGCAGCTTTAGAGACCACCAACACGTCATACCTGAAGAAGCTCGAAAGAGCTCTGTCAGATGGGCCGAGGATCACCCAGCAAATACTCGAACTGAGCGAAGGGGTTGTGACTTTTCATAGCTTAGGTGGACCGTAATACTGCAATTCTGTGAAACAGAAACACTTAAATGGGGCGTACATTCCCAGTGCAGAGCCAGGATCCACTGAAACGGGGAAGGCGTGTCCAGGACATCGCCTCGACGAGCGTAAACGCCGGAAGGTTTCAGCTGAGGAAACATGGAGGACGATAGCGACATCTCCGGCCGCCTCGACGTGCGAGACAGATCGTACAGTGCCTGCACGGCTTCTTGCAGGTCTCACGGGGGGCAAGAACGAAGGCTGGGCTGTAAACGATTTACAGCGTTTTACAGACCGATCGTGTTGCTTCTAGTCCTCAACAGTACAGTCATCTCGTCGCACCGCACAGAAAACTACACCAACCGGAAAGGAAAAGGCGTTAAAGTTGCTGTTTATCGACTGTTGCGTAGCGACGGACCCTTGTTTAAGAACGTCATCATGTGTTTACTGTGCCACTGCCTAGCAACGGCTCTCTTCTGGCTTTCGTGTCACAATAAGTTACATTCATTTCCATTAAATCTGATCGATTTCCCCCCATGCCCTCCCAAAGAAATGGCGCTATTTCGCCCATGCTAAGCATAGGAATGAACGGACTTAACAAAGTTTGGTCAGTAGGAAGAATGGGCCTATATGCTCGGAACTGGGTGATTCATCCTCGGTTCAACCGTCGGCATAAATGCAGTCAGTTTCAGGTTGAAGGCGGTTACGACATTTCAACCGAACTTCCGCCATTGCTGGAAATTTTTTCAGTGTCGTTCCAAACAGCAGTAACACCTCTGTGGCCAGTTGTTAGAGTCCGAGGTGTCATCCAAAATTCGGGAAGCGACCAAGCTTCAAATGTGATATTAAGAATCAGTACGTGACCCTATCTCTGGATGCCAGAACCAACACAAGGCAGGATATATGAAGAAATAACGTAATCCACCTGTGACAATTAAGAGAAAAGTTTAAAACGTCATAAGCACGTGACCTATACCCTACGGCCATGCATAATTTAAGAGCTAGAGACCGACTACAAGAGAAGCTAAAACTCTTGAGTCAAACTACAGATATTATATGTGTACATGACTGGATTTAGCTTTTATTTTAGCCTTGAGTCTGGCTGTTACATTATGCATGGACACAGGTATTGCGTCTCATGCAAGTGGCGTTTTCAATTTAATTCCCGCAGATGGGTTATGTATCTTGCGTTACACATCCTGCCTTGCGTTGGTTCTGCGCCAGGAGGTAGGGACTAGCTCTATCGATTGGGCCTAACTGAGTAGATTTTTTATCCGAGGATGGAGACAGGGATCAGTCTCCGAAATGCTTTAAATAACAGGGTGACGGATGTCTAGAAAGTCAATCACTGTACTGATCTTGATATATATATATATCACAGGAGAGTTCCATCAGCAATTCCTTGTTTTTTTTATATAGAAAGCCAGTTCTTCCCATAGATTACGACTTCAAATGAATTTCGTATCCACTCATGTTGCTCAACGATCAGTTCTAGAAAGGGATCTTGAAACTTTTCACAAGATTAGTGGGATGAGTTTGAACATAAGGTTTGATTGGCCGCACCATAGCTCAAGCGGTTAGTCGCTGGCTTCCCACCGCGGCGGCCCGGGTTCGATCCCGGATCTCGTCAAGTGGGATTTGTGGTGGACAAAGTGGCGCTGGGGCAGGTTTTCTCCGAGTACTTCTGTTTCCCCTGACAATCTTCATTCCATCAATTGCTCCACAATCAGCCTCACCTATCATCTGGGGTTGATACGCTAGGCC